TCTCTTTTTCCGTTTAGACCAGCCGCTAGGGATTACGGATGTTGTTCCCATACTCCGAAGTCATACATGGTGCGTCCGAGTCGGAAGTCCGGGATTACTATCAGGACCATCATGCTACTAGTCTCCGAAGGCGGTGGGATAGGGTGGGATCTGGTGGGATGTATACCAATGTCGCTAAAATGTACAAGCGTTTGATAGGTTTGTCAAAATAGGACAGGGGGAACTACATCTTGCCCTTATAACCACGACTCTCTCTCTCTCTTTGCTGGAAGAAGGCCGGACCTCTCTGGCTCTATATTCTGTTTCTTATGTACGCCTCTCTTTTTTTCCGTAACCATGGAACAATGAACTCTGTCTGTTCACTCACCTACAGCTGCGGTTGGGATTCTCCGAGTCAAACTTACGAACACTTTTGTTTTCCAAGATTCAAGAACGGGCAATCTACTTCTTTTGCCTCCCTATCCCTACCTCCTCCAGCTGTGTTATTTCACGGTGAGACACCCTTCGTTTCGTCCTGAATAATATATAATTTGGTCTATTTCATCGGAAGGGACCGCCAACTCGCTGTTTTCTACTATGTAAGTTGTTCGATTCCTCCCGTCACCAATGGGTATTGAGAACCATGTACTTCCTTCCATGTAGTCCCGTTTTTACAACACCAATATATCACACACATTTAATGAAATCTTTCTTCCTCGTACCACCATCATCAGCATCCTGGCTGCGCTCATTCATCGTCCTATGCCTCCTTCTCTCTACGCCATTTTCCAATGCTACATGTGCTGCTGCTCCAGTATCTCCTACCAATGAACTCGCACAAGATCTCCAAAACATTCCACGTACGTCTTGCCTTTCCTTCCCCCCTCCCCCCCTCCCGCCCACCTTTATCCCATCCTAATTCTATATTCATTCGACATTCTCTCGCCTGTAGTTAATACCAATGTAAAAGTCTGGATCCTGCGTCAAGATACCCCGCAAAAGGTGGATCCGGATAAATGGTGGATTTCGTTTGGCGATCAACAACATATCGGCGTAACTTTCCGGGCTGTAGACTCTGGTCCGAGTCAACAGCTTGAGGAATACACGGCGGAGAAACATCGACTTGATGGACCGTTGAGTTGGATTTTGTTGGGAGAAGCATATTTTCCGGGTGGTAATGTGATACATGATATTCTAGGGAAGGGGTCTATCGATAGACTTTTAGCTGCATCGCGATCCCGGCAGGGAGGTCATGGTGGTGGCGACTCTCCTAGTCTTATGTTCATTCAAGGGGTCTGGAAGTTGCTGGAGGAGAAGAAGGTTATAAAGACAATGACGGGGCATTTCGACAAGGTAATGGAAGGGGCGAATCATGTGGGCTCAAGTTCAAGCACCCACTTGGCAAGCAGTGACAATGTAATTGGGCCTCGGCCCCTCCTTCCGAAATACACCATACCAAGTAGGTATTTTCCAAAAGATACACTGCTCTTCTCGTCGTTTATTCACATCGATTCCCCCTACATAGCCAACGCCGATGTGAAGGTTTGGCTCTTGCGTCAAGACCGTGACGATCCACAGGGGGAACCCAATCCCGATAATTGGTGGATCTCTTTGGGTGATTCCCAGTATGCCGAAATCACTTTCCGGCGTGCGGCGGACGGGCATGGTCTCGAGAGATATGCTACGCGGAAGCATGCTTCCATCGGGGCGAAAACTTGGATATTACTGGGGGTAGCGCGATTTCCCAGTCATGATGTGATGCAGAATATCTTTGGGGATGGGGCTATGAATGAACTTTTAGCTACATCATGTTTGCAGCAGGGAGGTGGTCCTACTAATCTTCCTAGTCTTAGGTTCATCGAAGGATTTTGGAAGAGGTTGGAGGAGAAGAAAGTTATAAAGTCATCGACGGGGAATTTGGATAAGATCTTAAAAGGAGAAAAGTATGAGAGCTCGTGGTCCAAAGTATAGGTGGAATTTGGCAGTATTTGGGATGAGCAGGTTTTGAAAAATATTACGGCTTGAAAATCCTATACAATTCACCTCTAGTTATAACTCGGACCTCATTCACCAATCATCCCTCCTAACACTCCATGTCTCGACGTCTCTTTCCCCTTCTGAATTCGAGTCGAATCCAAGATTATTAATCGCAAAGAGCCCATCACCGGTACTTAGTGGCTCCCACTCCCCATTAGAACCGTCACCACCACGATAATTGGGAAACCGAGCGGCGACCCAGAGTTTAGAAATTTGTAATCGGTTGTCGGAAGGTAGGTTCAGCTAGTTTCCCTCCCAGGGGTACCGGTAATTATCCTGGGCCTGACAAAAAGGAGAAGGATATTGTTTACGAACCTGATATCCACCGTACTTTACAGCATCTTGATTAAGCCACCCGACGAGGTATTTTGTTATTGCTAAATTAGAGCAAGCAGGATTAGTAATGAGGTTGACGAACAAATTCTGAAGCCCATGGCTTCTGCTCACCAGCTTGTTTCTCAACACCATATGCCATGAACGTGCGTCCGTACCCTTTCCCGACCCGCTCCCAATGCCTCGCCCACATGAAATCGGAAGATGGCATTTTAGCTTGTCCAGCCCATACTTTGGATAATACCGCAGAGGTGAATTCGGAGTACAGGAATGTTTCGATGCCGGTGTTCACTGTTTTTTTGAGTAAGGAGGGGGATGAAGGAGAGATTAGCATTAGAAGGGGACTCGGAACACAAGACCAGCACTTGGATACTTACTATTAATAAACCCAATTGTCGGTTCTTCGATATAGAATATATCAAGATGGAGGCTTCGGATATGGGTTCCGTCTGTTATCAGTGGTTGTTGACGTTGAGTTGACTTGGCGTCTGTGCCTTGAATCGGTATGGTTTCATTTGCACGGAGAGAGGTGTTGATGTACTGGGGAAGGAAGGGGAATGAATAGCGGTATCCTATAATCCTTGATTAGAGGAAAATATATACAGATAAATGGGTATATTGATTTAAACGAGCTCACCAGTGGCTAAAATAATTCTGTCGAATCCGTGTAATATCTTCAAAGTGTATCAGTAAATTACTACTGGGCATTAACGGAACCCAAGAGAGACAGACGTACGGTACCGTTTAAAAGCTCGACCTTGCCGGAGGTGATACCCGGTGCCGTGAAGGGATGAAATGATTTGATTTCTGGAACGATAGAAACGTTTCGCGGGACTCTGGATAAGTGCATTTTCCGGGGGGGAGTATGCGCAGAGTCTATATATATAGGGAAATAAGGAGATTTAGATAGGAAAACCTCGGGCGCTATCAGTACATACCTTCGCTATCCCGAACGCTCAAAATGACTTTCCCAGCCACCCCGTCCAATTCCTCAGCTATTTCAGTTCCGCTGACCGATCCACCGATGACCAACACAGACTGATTAGCAAATTCCTCTGGGCGACGATATTGTCGGGAGTGGGAGATGAGATGAGGATAGAGGCTAGCCCATTGTGAAAGACCAGGAATGTCAGGTGTGTTGGGTGCGTTGAACCGTCCGGAGGCAACTACAAGGGCATCGAAGTGCTGTGTGTAGGAGGTTAATAATAGGAATGAATAAATATTACATCAATTCAATACTCGCCTCCTCCCACCAACGAATCTTGTACGAGTTGTTCCCAGTTTGAGTAAATCGCCGAAGTAGAAGTGTCCAACCCGCTTCAGTTTTCGTTTGTTGTCCATTTTCGGTACTTGTGGTGATGTTGTATCGTTTAGTGACGCGTTCGACGCGGGTGTTATAGGAGACATCGAGATTGTTGTCGTTACTGTTCAGTGAGAGAAAGGAGGCGAAGGTGCGGACGTAGCGTTGGAGGTGGGTGCGGTTAATGTCTAGAAGGTGTCGGTGGTTGTTAGGGTGGACGAGGAACGACGTACCAATGGGAGTCTGTTCTGGCCAAGGTAATGCTCTAAACTACGCCCGAGATTAGAACTTGTTGTGACAATATATCGAGGAACAAACCTCTTGGTATGACTAAAAAGTGGCGCGTCGCGTAATAAGCATATTCTCGAATAATAATGAAAACCAAATTCCCCTACCCTCGGTCCAGTCGCACCCAACCTTTCCCAAATCGGCTTCGGAGCTCTCTGATCAATCTTTACTTCCAAGACCCTTTGCTCCTCCACGCCCTCAAAGCTCTTTTCATACGGCAACTTCACACCATCTGGTGGTAGATCCGGCTCGAAATCTGCTTTAGATGTAGGGAAATTGGGTACTGGTGCATTCGGGGATGTTTCGTTGGCGGTGTAATGCCAATTCCCACCGGGCATTGAGTCGCGCTCGAAGAGTCGGACATGGAAGTTGTTGAGACGGGAGAATTGGTGGTAGGCGATGAGACCGCTGGAGTGGAGAAAGAGAATGGGTTTGAGGAAAAAAAGAAGTAAAAATCCAAAGGACGGTATACCCAGCTCCTGCACCAATGATTGCTACTCGATGAATTGGCCATTTGAACTTATACGACGACGCCTCGTGGGGCGTTGTAATATCCTCAAACGGGTCTGTAGAACGAAATGGTTGTTGACGAGGTTGAGCAGCGTTCAAAGTACCAATGCTGCTGAGTATAAGCACAGTGAGAACGAGCGATCGCATCTAGAGTAAGCGGGTGTCGAAGAGCAACACTGTGTCCGCAGATGTATAATACATATATAGCTTTATTTCCAGCACGCAGGAGCACGCCACCGTCGCCACATTTCGCGCTAGCGGGATACCTTGATCTTTTTTCAATGCTTGTGGGAGAAAGAATAATGGAATAGTTCATTTGCTTGATTTCAGGCGGCACCAGGCGTTTGGTTTATTGACAAGTCAAGCACAAATTGAAATTATTGATTGTCGTGGTAGAAGGAGACACACTGTTTGAATTAGGCGCTGCTAAATATATGTTACAATTAAGCGCCTGTTCAGCCGCTATACAATTTAAGGAACGAGCGGAGAAAACACCAGGTGTGGCTGTGCAACTCGTTCTTGTTTTCATATTGATCGTTTACCCAACAGCCAGGGCGCTATAGCCAAGTGGTTACGGCGACAGATTAGAATGAAGGGGTCATCATAAAGTCACCTTATCTGTTCCTCTTTGAGGGCGCAGGTTCAAATCCTGCTGGCGTCGTATACAGAGCTCCTGTACCTGGTTGAGTTTTTAGCATCTTTTCTGAGGGGCGGGGTTTTTTTGTTCCTTGTCTTCGTTCATTCATTCCTCGTTTCTTTGTGTTCACCCTTTCCCCCTCCCCCCTTTCCCCCTTTCCCCCATAACATCCAAAATTAGTCATAGAATAAATGAGTAAATAAATCCTGGACACCGGATTCAGCACAACATCCAATATTTCCACTTCACCACTGTGGCTTACACTTACACAGGGGACGAAGTTGATGAAAATTTGGATAGAATCAAGGAAATGTGTCTCACATCATACTTGCAGATAGATTCACTCAATAAAGGTTCACTTTTGAAATTGGGCAACCTGATTGGTTTTAGAATGAGGATAGAATGAGGATAGATAGATATCAAAATTGAGAATTTTTCTAGAATTGTCCCGGATTCGAACCCCGCTTCCATCCATTCAATTCTTTGGGGTGTTCCGAAATAAGCCGAGTGAAAACTATTGCAAAAAAACATTCAACTTGAGTATGCTATTACATACAGTGTACTCTAACCTGTAAACAATTTTGTTGCATGACCCATCAAGCCTAAGTGTATATCTATTACTCCACCCAACCACTACAGTCCAGACTCGAGGAAATAGGAGGAAATCGAAATGTAATAGGCAGTGCGAAAAAATCTCAGGCATAGCAGCATTGGCCTTCCAGGAATTGCAGTCTTGCACATCCATCTCCTTGACATACTTGAATTGATTGCAGCCTTGAAGTAGAATCTTGCAATCTTGTACAACATTGAGTATTGTTTAGAGTTGAGGTTGATGTTAAGCCGAAAGTGGGTTCATTGAAGGAGGAAGAGAAGAATAACAAAACAAAACAAAATATTCTGAAGTCCGACCTGCCCTGCAATACATCAGCCAATTAGAAGCAAACAAGATGTCATGTGTAATATTTTTAACCAAAGAATGGATAAATTCATACCAAATGGAGAGAAGTTAGATGGAGGATGCATTTGAGGTTTGTAATTATGGAGTCTCGACAAAAAGATAAAATAAAACTATCACAGGTTCCAAAATTATAACATAACCTTTGATTATGATCAGATATTGGATCGAGGCTACATCAGGAAACTGGTCTCTCATTAATACGGTGAAAATTCTTTGAAATTTCTGATAATATTCAATAATTAGCGGCCTCAACACATTATCGGGAATTAATGAACATTGCCCGGCCCCTTTGACGCATTAATAAACATTAACAATAGTTGAACAGTACACTAACGAAAACTTACTGATAGGATAGTGATAGTGTACCAATGAGTTAGCAATAGTTCCATGGTAGACTCATGACAGGTTTTGCGCATTATCTTGAGACTTGAGGTAGCTCATCGTTACAGAAAGTCATGAAATGTAATGAATTGATGGATTACTCTGGGTATAGAATATGTAAACTAAGCATGCACTTCAGTCTCTTTGCCCGCCCTATCTTTGTTGAATTCATCTTCTCGACCAATTACAGACCCATTACCATTCGCGGTGAGTGAATCAGCCATGCCGTCCCCGCTCAAGCTAATAGTGCACTCTCCATCATTTGAACCTCCATGCACCGGATCAGATTCCGATGAACTGCGACTGCTGTCATCGTCACCGCCATTGGCTGCAAATGCAGTGAGGTTGATACGTTGTAGAATTTGATCCTGGGAGAGACCATGTTCGGTTGGTGCAACCGTACGACTGAATAAACTTGAAATTAGTGAATTGGAATAAGAGCACAACGAGAACACATACGAAGATTGTAGGTAGAGCTTATGCATGAGCTTATGATAATTCACCCTGCTAGCAGTCTCCAAGTTTGTCAAAATGGCCATGAATGTCGACCATTGCGAGTGAAGCCCAGTTGGTGGAAAATTTTCCTCAGTGAATTTTGCATGGTCTTGCAAGATAGAATGTATCTCGAGTAAAATCAGCACCGAAAACATCATAAATGAATTATGCACATACCACACAACTGGCCATAGCTACCATCGCTTTTGGAAGTTCCAATTCAAGCGGCTTATGAGGAAGAGAAGAAACAAATATTGATGCTTTCCTAGACGTAATTAGTTTCGAGTATTTTGTTGAACTGAAAAGAGCCGCGCTAAGATATTTATAGATAACGTTGTGACTGAATGGCCGGGCGTAGTCGTACAGGCCAGACTAACAAAAAGTTAGTCATCGACACCTATATCTGTGTGGCACGTACTGGTAATAGTTGATAGATATAATCCGAATTAGCAACCAACTGCTTTGCCTCTTCAATTCCTGCTTCAGAGTAGTCGAGCCCAAATGCAGTGAGGACAACAGATGAAAAGCCAGTTTTTAGGGTTCTTCGCTCAAGTATAACCCGCTGTGCAACCTGCAAAGTCGGGAATTAGTGACAAAGGGTAACAGTGTGTATCATTACTGACATATTTTATAAGGGGTCTAGCATATGTTGTATGGTCTCCCTCCTCGAGTCGGTGTGATAAGTCAAGGTCTGCATCAAATCCCAGCTCGTCTGCACATTGAATCAGGGCACCTAATGTGATAGCATTGAGCCCCGAGGTTTGCAGACCGCATTCTTCGCCATTAGTTACAAGCTCCAAGGTTGCCCGACTTCTTGCCGCTTTCACAACAGATCTGACTTGAGCATTTTGAGCTTTCAAATCGAGTCTGTAAGACCAAGTCGCATCGGTGGATGGTTTGAGGATCAAGTTCGTATGTGGAAGCCATGCAGGCTCAGCGGATTGAAATTGAGGAAGAGTTGAGGTGGGAGCAGGCATATCTGCATCTTTGGTGGAGACGACTGGAAGCTGGAATATCTTTAGTGATGATACTTAGGGATGAAATATGCGTACCTCTACTGCGAGCTTAGCAGCCATTCTTTGTACCTTCTTCACAATCAATGAGCAATAGGTACAAAGGTCACTGTGATATAGATTGCGCACCTTGGTTACAGGAGCAAGCTTCGGAACATCGTCTTCAGAGCTAGAAAGGGCTTCCTCAATGTCTTCTTCAACTTCGACTTGTCGACTTCGGTTATTAACCATGCCCGTATCACCTGACAAAGACTTCAGAGCGCTCACAATGAGTACAGTTGGTTATGTACCTGTTCTGTTCTTTCTGCCATGACTTCGAGTTGGGAACTGTGCTGCCTATGAAATATTAAGTGAGAAAATCCATTGAAATATGAACACATGAATTGGGACCTCTTCGTTGAAATGCTTGGCTGCCTCGGAATCATTTTGACGTTCAACCTCGCAGTCGATGTCACCAATATCTCCATTCAGGTCACTATCCTGGTCACTATCATTGCCTTCTTGAGCTTCCTTAATCTCTTGTCGAGTATGTCGCTGGTTGAAGAGCAGGTCACCTAGATAAAAATGAATTAAAACAAGGTAATTTTGTTAGGACTTGCATACTTTCCTTCATCCTCATCATCTGATTGTATAACGACAGGACGCCCTCCTAAAAAATTTATCAGTTCCATTGAGTGGAAGTGGTACACCGGCTTACTGCGGATTTGGTTCAGAGTTTGCGTTATCACTGGTGTTTTTGCTGCTACACGGCCTCTGGATTTTGGGGTATCTGCACCCGTTAAAGCAAGAATTCCTCGCGGTGTAGCAGAGAGCTTTGTCCTGGTGTTCCTCTGTGGCTTTCGTGTTGGTGTCGGCATCTCCTGAGTGGCCTCCATAGGCTGAATAGCAGAATCGAGGGGAGTAGGTGCAAGTACATTCTTGTTTTTATTCCTCTGCCTGCGTGGAAACTGGGGCGTAGAGACACTGGCGAGTATGGTATCCTCCTTCCTTGACCCGCGCAAGCGTTTTGCTGGCTGCTCAGTCTCCAGTTCTCTGTTGTCTAGAAAATCACAGAGAATTTGTGAATGTTTCCGTTAATCAAGGCAAGGCTTACCCGGTTTGCTCCCAGTCGACTTTCTTTTCCGGGACCTAGTTTCATGTGGATTTTCATTGGTGGGGCTGCTAGCGACAACAGTGTCGACGGGTTTATTTCCACCTGACTGGCGGCTAGCCCGTCGACTAGACATTGAGGCAGTTCAAGGAAAACACAGACACGTCAGTTGGTTGGAACAGAAGTAAGCTTGTAATTGAAACAATTTCCGAAATAATCTGCTAATGTTCTGACCCTTTATTAGTCACCGTCACAGCGCTATTATCCTACCCATTGTCTATCTTACATTATGTCAAAATCTGCTGGCTATTCATGTCGAGCTTGCCAGCGTACCTGGAAGCGCAACAGTGATCTCACTCAGCATTATATGAAAACAACAAATACTGTTTGTCGAAAGGAAGCAGACACTTTCATTGCAAAACTTCGGACTAGTCATTCTGCCCCACGTCGGAGTCTACTACAGCGCCGCCGTCTCCCTTTCTATCCTTCGGTTAATGACAAGTCAGCTGGGCCCAAGGATAATTCCGAAGCTGAGCATGACGATGAATCTGAGTCCGCTACACCATTTGTTGGCGATTTTTTTGGTCAGGACTATGCTTCCGAAGACTTTCCTGGGCTTGCAGATGAAGACGACGATGACGATGATGAGGAAGAAGAAGCTGTAATCATTGCGGAGTCACCATGGGAGCCCGAGCGTCCTCAACAAACTTGTTTTAGTGACACTGATACAGTCGATGATTCTCCAACCAACATTCCACAACCTACCAACCTGTTACTTCACCAGCTCCCTTCTCATAGAAATGATATCTATGTACAGAAATTTGGAGGCCAAGCCGGTGCTCCTTTACCCACTTTGCAACCTTCACATTTTCGAAATTCACGGGACGGATTCGAGCAGTATCAAGCCTCAATTGCCGATAGTGATATCAATATGTGGGCTCCATTCACCTCGAAGGTTGATTGGGAAATGGCTCGTTGGGCCAAGATGCGCGGTCCTGGCTCTACTGCTTTTTCGGACCTACTGGCTATTGATGGTGTGCGTTTTCCACGTTCAATTTATTTTTAATGTCAATCTTACCCCGATACA